CTCTCTCTCACACACACACTCTCTCTCACAAACACACTCACACACACACACACACTCTCTCTCACACACACACACACACTCGCACACACACACACACACACTCTCTCTCTCTCACACACACACTCACTCACTCACTCACACACATATAATATAATATAATAATAATATATTCAGACTGATAATAATACAAATCACTAACATAGGACAAACTATTATAATAACTCATATAGTGTATATATTTATTAACATATATAATCATAAATATATATATATATATATATATATAAAATAGTAATATCATTTATTATTTTATATTCTATATTAATTATAGCCTGACCTGTCTGATCCGTCTGGCAGTGGCGAATGAGTCGCACCGTATCAGCGATCATGTGCTGAGAACAGAGACACACACACATCAGAGACCCGTCTGACGAGAGATGAGTGACAGCTGTCAATCACTGACACACAAAACACTCACCAGCTTCTCAAAGTTCACCAGATTATCATGAAATGTTTTGTTCCCCTCGTGGATGAACGTGATATCTGAAAACCAGCAGAGAACACAACACTCAAACTCCCAGAAGCTGATCACTGGCCATGCAATTAGAGCATTTGTGACATCATTTCCTTTAGGTCGGGTCACAGGAAGTGGCTATTTACCTTTACGCAGTATACAATATAAAATAGTTTATTTTTACAATTTAATAATATATATATATATATATATATGTTAATATTATTTCATTAAAAATAATCTATATCTGTCATACAAAGCACTATTACTATATTTAATAAAAAATATAAACAAAAATAAAATCAATATTATTTTAATAAACAGAAGAATAATCAGTGTCATAAAAAGCAGTATTACATTTTAATAATAAAATAAAATTAAACTAAAATAATAAAATACATTTTTATATTTTAATATATTAGTATTATAAACAAAAATAAAAATATATAAGTATTATAAACAAAAATAAAAAATGTTTTAATCAATATTATTTTAATAAACAGAAGAATAATCAGTATCTGTCATAAAAAGCAGTATTACATTTTAACAATAAAATATCAACAAAAAAAATTAAAATACAATATTTCATATTTTTATAAAAGTTTAAAATTTTAATATATCAATATTATTTCATCAAACCCATATGTCAGAATAACCCATATCTGTCATAAAAAGCAGTATTATTAAATTTTAATAATAAAATTAAACTAAAATAGTACAATTAAATTTCATATTTTTTAACATATCAATATTATTTTATTAAACCTAAGAATAATCCACATCTGTCATAAAAGCAGTATTAGTATATTTTAACAATAATATATAAATGAAAACAAATAAAACTACAATATTTTATATATTTTAAATATATCGATATTATTTTATTCAACCTAAGAATAATCCATAACTGTCATAAAAGCAGGATTATTATATTTTAACAATAAAACATGCACTTCTACTATATCAATATTATGTTACATAAGAATAAGAATAGTTACATAATATAAGAATAATCAGTATCTGTCATAAAAAGCAGTATTATTGCATTTTAATAATAAAATATAAACTAAATAGAATCTTTTTAGTATATCAATATTAATGTAATAAACAGAAGAATAATCAGCATGTGTTATATTTGAATAATAAAACAGCACGATGTACTGAGGTGAGTTAACCTTTGAGCAGCAGAGGCATGAAGGGGATTTTGGGCGGCTTGGTCTTCTTGAAAGCGTCTCTGTAGGCTTTGTGATTCATGGAGGGATCCTGAGGAAGACAATCAGGTGAGTCTCTTCATGTTCTGACTGATGAGCATTTAACTCTTTCTCCGCCACTGACGAGTTATCTCGTCTTTCAGAAGAAAACGCTTCCCACCAACGACGAGTTTTCACTGTTATACACTCGGGGCGCTATTACACAACGAGTACAAAACCTCCCGAACAAAAACACACGTGTAGAGGACGGAGAAACCAGCCATCTCTTATGTAAACAGATGCATATGAAAAATAATGCGATTATCAGCAATAGACAGCATATAAATGAAAACTGCATAATGTTACGGAGTAAAATGTTGATCTAGTAAGTGATGTCTGTGCAAGCTTTGGAGGTGTTGATGGAAGCGGTTTACTGGATTTATGCTTTGATAATCATACTGAATATTATCCAGATGTAGTTTTTGATAAAAATGTGATTTTCTCACCTTTTTGCTCAAAATTATGCATTTTTATGAAACCTACCTATATTCAAGTGTTGATAAAAAAAGAATGCTTTAAGCTAGAATAAAACTGATTTTTTTATTTAAAAGTAGAGGCTCTGATCTTTATTTTGGTGTATTGCATATTCAAATATTCATACAGCGAAATATACTGGAGGCCATCACATTTCAGTGAAAATCATCAAAATCGCTGGCGGTGGCTGGCAACTTTTTTGAAAAATGCTGGCGGGGAAAGAGTTAATCAAATCAGCCTGAAATCAAAGTCAACCCCATTTGTATATGAATGCTGTTCAATGTTCTTTATAAACTGGGTTTGACTTACTGTCAACAGCTCCAGCTCAGAGAAAAGCTTCTTGAACTTTCCAGGAACTTTCTGCAGGAACGAGAGACAGAAAAGAGTGTCTGCTTGTTTAGTCTGGCTGCCTCATGTCTGGTTAGAGTCAGTAAAGCGCTCTTACCTCCCAGGTCTGGTTGAGACGGCTGACGGCGGCTGTGTTTAAGCCCATGATGATGGCAAACGAGGAGTTGAGGTTCCTCTGCGCTTTACAGCTGAAACACACACACACACACACACACACACACACACACACACACACACACACACACACACACAACAACCAAGACACACACACACATGGACACACACACACACACACACACACACAGACACACACAGCCATGAATCATCGTTAGCGGATCTGCTCTGACTGATATTAAACACACAGACTCCTCAGTCTCTTCACTGGACATCTATGGAGTTAAATCTGTGCAAAATACTCTGTTTTCAACTCATTCAGTGGCTCTCTAAAGAGCAGTTAGGCAAATGTATGTTTGGATAATTACTCAAGTTTTTAAATAACAGTCATTCATTCTCCAGTGAGAAACAATTAGACATGATCTTAGAGTAATTTATGTGCATTCAGATAGCAAAACAACTTCACAATAATAACAACAACAAATAATAATAATAATATAAAATATTGTATTATTACAATTTAATAATAAATAATGACAAATAATGACAAATATTATTTATGTATAAAATATTATTTTTATTGTTTTAAACATAAATAATCAGTATCTATCACAAAAAGCAGTTTTGTTATATTTCAATAACAAAATATGAACAAAAATGTCAAAATAAAATATTTTATATTTGTAATATTGCAATGTTGTTTTATTAAACATTTATGAATAATCAGTATCTGTCATAAAATGTAGCATTACGTTTTAATAATAAATTAAAAATATAAAATATTTAATGTTTTTAATATATCAATATTATTGTACTGAACAAAAACAATCAGTATGTCATAAAATACATTATTAAAATGTAATAATAAAATATAAACTAAAATGGTAAATAATATTTTTAATATATTAATATTATTTTATTAAACAAACAATCAGTATCTGTCAAAATATTCTAGCTTTTTTCTGATTTATATCTGTGAAAGAGTCTGTATTTAATACTTCCTTTTATTTAACATAAGAACAACCTATATCTGTCATAAAAAGCACATTATTATATTTTAACAATAAAATATAAATTTAAATAATAAAATATTTTATATTTTTAATATATCAATATCTTTTTATTAAACATATGAATAATCAGTATCCGTCATAGAAAGCAGTATTATTATGCCTTAATAATAAACTATAAATTATATATCTGTGAAAGAGTCTGTATTTAATACTTCCTTTTATTTAACATAAGAACAACCTATATCTGTCATAAAAAGCACATTATTATATTTTAACAATAAAATATAAATTTAAATAATAAAATATTTGTAATATATCACTATTATTTTATTAACAAAGACAATCAGAATGCCATAAAATGTATTCGAATTTAAAAAAATAAATAAAATACAAACAAAAAATTTAATATTTTATATTTTTAATTTATCAATATTGTAGATATATAAATAACCAGTGTGTATTATTATTATATTTTAATAAACTATACTAATATTTTTTATATACAACAATTATTTTATTAAACAAAACAATCAGTTTGTGTCATAGAATTTATTATTATAATTGAATAATAAAATCTAAACTAAAATAATAAAAATATCTAATTATTTTTAATATATTAATATTACCTTTTTTTTTTTTAAACATAAGAATAATCTGTCATTTAAAAAAAATAAAACAGTATTGGCTGGTCAAAGCAGGACTGAATATTGAGATTAATGTGTGAAGTCTTCATCACTTTTGTCCCGAGTGTAAGCACGGTTTCTGAGACTCACTGCGCGGCGATCTTGATGAACTTCTTGAGCAGCTGCACTCGTTTGCTGAGCGATGGACAGAGCAGCACCTCAGACATCACCCACTGCTGCACCTCATTACAGCGCTGCAGCAGGAACTCTAGCGCCACAGTGTGGCCACTGCTGGCCTGACGACTGAACGTGTAGAAGATCAGCTCTTGCTGTCAGAACATCAGGAGAGAGAGTATGAATATAACATAATCTAGCTAACAAAGAGTCTGGGGTCAGTATGACTTTTCTTAATAGTTTCATTCATTGTGGATGCATTAAATTGATCAAAAGTGAAAGTAAAGACATTTATAATGCTACAAAAGATTTCTATTTCAAATGAATGCTGTTCTTTTGACATTTCTATTCATCTGTGAATCCTGAAAAATAAAATGCATCACGGTTTCCACAAAAATATGAAGCAGCGCAGCTGTTTTTAACATTGATAATAATCAGAGATGTTCAAAAATCAGCATATTAGAGTGATTTCTGAAGAATCATGAGGCACTGAAGACTGGAGTAATGATGCTGAAAATTCAGCTTTGCATCACAGAAATAAATTACAGTTTAACATAGATTCACATAGAAAACAGTTATTTTAAATTGTAATAATATTTAACAATTTTAATGTTTTTACTGTATTTCAATCAAATAAATGCAGCCTTTTTGAACATAAGAGAATTCTTTTAAATAAATAATAAAAAGAATCAGCAGTGTATATTTTCTAAAAACATTTAAAGGTTTAAAGCTGTTGATGACATGTTTAAAGTATGTTCAAACAAAGTTGGACACTGCTTCTAACAACAAAATATTTTTTAATAAATACTAATGACATAATTAATATTAGTTATAGACGTTTGTACATTTTTTAAAGAAATTAAAAACAACTTCAGCTGTTTTTTCAGCTTAAAATATATAATGAATATACATTTATATTATTATATGTTACATTTATATTTGCACATTCTAATAATTTCAATATAATAAAATGTAAATACATAATAATAATAGGAAAAAATTTAAAACATGATAATAGAGCTACTTTTTCTTTATGCAAATATACATATCATCTCATCTATACATTTTAATCTGTTTAATATAATGAAATATAAATGTTAATAAAATACATAAAAATAATAGAACAAAACTTTATTTATTCAAACATACATTTAAATAATAATATAATATATCTTTTTTAATATAATAACATAAATGTAAATAGAATAAAAAAATATAAATGTAATTGTCTCATCTGCATTCTGTTGTCAAAACAAACAGCAATCATGCGCACAGCGTTGTATTTCACCATGTAAATATGCTATCTGTGACATTTCTGCTCATGATTTGATGATGACAGCCGTATCTGAGAAGCTTCACCTCATGAATGGAGTTGAAGAGATTCCAGTCGAAGTTTGTCAGAGCCACAGATACGTCCCATGTGTTGATGCCCAGCAGTCTGACGGGCTTCTGTCCCAGCTCAGGACACTCAGTCAGGGGCGGCTGAGACACACAAACACCCTTATCAGCATTACGAGTCATTTTCAACAGCTTTAACCACACAAAACGAACATGTTGTGCTAGTTTGTCGCACCAGGATCTCGCTGAGGTCTCTTCGACAGGCGATCAGTCGGCCAGGCGCCTCCAGAGACTCGGAGTAAATACTGTCGTGCGGCTGAAGGACGCGCTTCTCTGTGAGACGGAGGACAGAGTCAGTGTGTTTGACTGCAGAATAGGGTTGGGTATCGTTTGGGGCTTTTTCGATACCGGTGCCAAATCGATACTTTTAAAAGGGTTCCGGTGCCTAAACTGTGTCTGAACAGATACTTATTTAAAAATAAATAAATAAAAATTCCCCCCAAAATTATGGATTGGCCATTAGCACTATAAACACATGATGTCTGTTTCATTCATACTGGACGCCAGAGGGCGCCGTAGCATAGAAAATCCACATATCCAGTCACAGAAGTAGCTGAACTCATGACCCTCCAGGAAATCCCTTATACGGACAAAGGCATCGCTATTATAGCTGTAACTGAGTAAACAGACGGATGCTCTCATTTCCCGAGTTGTGCTTTTAATTCTGAATGTGAAAACAACATGGGTATCGTTTGGGGCTTTTTCGATACCGGTGCCAAATCGATACTTTTAAAAGGGTTCCGGTGCCTAAACTGTGTCTGAACAGATACTTATTTAAAAATAAATAAATAAAAATTCCCCCCAAAATTATGGATTGGCCATTAGCACTATAAACACATGATGTCTGTTCATTCATACTGGACGCCAGAGGGCGCCGTAGCATAGAAAATCCACATATCCAGTCACAGAAGTAGCTGAACTCATGACCCTCCAGGAAATCCCTTATACGGACAAAGGCATCGCTATTATATCTGTAACTGAGTAAACAGACGAATGCTCTCATTTCCCGAGTTGTGCTTTTAATTCTGAATGTGAAAACAACATGGACACTCCCGTTACTACAAAGATGTGTTGGATTTGTATTATTAGAGCTTTCCGACTTAAGTTCACGTGCATTTTCTCAGTCGGGAAATTATTTTTCACGTGTGGTGCCAGTGATGCTTCTTGCGTCCGTTTTGGAGAACCAGAGGACAAATATTTCAATCGATCGCTCAGGCATGGCACTGAAATGAGGCACCCCGAAATCTGTGTTCTGATTCAGTTCTAGTACATGCCGGTTACATAGGTACCGGGGCCATATTGGTACCGGGTTTCGGTACCCAACCCTACTGCAGAAATGTGTGTGTGTGCGTGTGTATGAACCTCCGCTGTACGTCTGTGCCACCAGCATCATGTCGTCCTCGGATCGGTCCATGCGCTGAGAGACGATGTGCAGCAGCTCCTGAGCCACCACCGCCGGCTTCACCCGCACGCTCAGATACGAATCAGAGCTCACGTATACACGACACATCACTGACACACAAGCAACACATCACACACACACACACACACACACAGAGAAAGTGACAAAATTAGGTCTGGATTCATGTTTCATCTCAAAATCAGAAGGTGAAAAAATTACATCATATTTTGAAGAGATTCATTTACATTCTATTTAAATCTATATATTATTATACAAAAAATATGTACATTTATTGATTATTTAAATTTATATTTGCATAAAGAACTATTTTGCACTATTACGCTTTATTATTTCTTCAATTATTATATTTTATTTACATGTCATTTGTTTGTTTTATGTACATGTTTTATTATATCAAAAAGATAAAAAATATATATTAACAAAAAAGAAAATTTTGTGCTTATTAAATTTTTTCATTTTTCTATTACAAATTCTATTTACATTTATGTATTTACATTGATACTGGCATAAAGAAAATTTGTTCTATTATTGTTTTTTCTATTATATTTCATTTACATTTATATGTGATTATATCCAAAAAATAAAAATGTATATATAATAAATTTATATTTGCCAAAAGAAAAATTTTCTTATTATATTTTTCATTTTTTTCTATTATTATATTTTATTTACATTTATATTTTATTACTTTTATTATATATTATATTTAATTTTTTATATATAATAAATGCATAAAGAAAAATTATCTATATTATAATTTTTTTTGCATAATTTTACATACATAATAAATAATGTACTGAGGGGAAGAAACAGAGAGAAAGCAGCTTAGAGACACCTTCACGGCTGCAGAAATGTTCACGATGTGAGTCTGACAGATGCTGCGGCTGGAAGTGAACTGAGAGACGGCTGATATAAGACTTCTGTCAGACAGTCACGAGAGAGACGTCTCCTGTGAGACTCCCGTCTCGCTATCGATTTGTCTCTGTCGCTGAACTACATCCATCAAAATCTGCTCTTTTATAGCTCAGGAGACTCAACTATCAATTTTCAGATGTTTGTCTCAGACGTTTCTTGCAAAAGTTCATTAGAAGAAATAAAAACAGACAGTTGTTGTCATACAGTAAGAGCTATAGAGCTATATAATTAATTTATATAACAGCTAAGGTTGGTTTTAGGAGAATTTAATGAGAATTGATTGATATTCATGTTGAGATCTGTGACTTTTGATTGCAGATTTTGGCATTGTGGCAAAACTGAGCTAACTTTGAGACATTTTTTAGATCTTTTCTGAAACTTTAGAGAAGACATGAGATTACTGAGGTCTTTTTCACTTAAACAAAACTCTCCATCTGCACTCCATTTAATCTCATTTCTCTCCATGAGAAACAACTGAGACATTAAATAAATTTAAATTAACTTGATGAGAAATGTTTGAGTTCATATTGAGATCTCTAGCTTTCATTGGCAAATCTAAGAACAGATTGAAACATGGAGATTTTTTGAAACTAAATGAGACAAGTGAGATTTCCCCTTTTTCTCGGGTGAAAAGCAGGAGGCTCAAGCTAAAGTCTCAATTTGCACTCCATTTAATCTCATTCCTGTCCAGGACAAACCATTGAGACATTAAATACATTCAAATTAACTTGATAAGACATGTTTCAGCTCATACTGAGATCTCTGACTTTTATTGGCAAATTTGAGCACAGTTTGAGACATTATTGAGATCTTTTCTGAAGCTTTAGAGAAGACACATGAGATTACTAAGGTCTTTTGCTCAAGTAAAAAGCAGGAGAGTCAAGCAAAAGTCTCAATTTGCACTCCATTCAATCTCATTGCTGTCCAGGAGAAACAAGTGAGATATTAAATAAATTCAAATCAACTCGAAGATAAATGTTTGAGTTCATATTGAGATCTGAGCACAGTTTGAGACATTATTGAGATCTCTTATGAAACCCTGAAACAAACAGACTCAAGCATAAGTCTCAGTTTAATCTCATTGCTGTCCAGGAGAAACAAATGAGATATTAAATACATTCAAATTAACTTGATGAGAAATGTTTGAGTTCATATTGAGTTTTGAGCAAAGCCTGAGATGAGAAACGTTTGAGTTCACATTGATTTTATTGGCAAATTTGAACACAGTTTATTTGAGAAACAGAATTAAAACCTCTTAAAAAACTAGGAAACACATGTGAGATTATTGGAGACTCAAGTCTCCATTTAATCTCAATGCTATCCAGGAGAAACAATTGAGATATCGGAGGAATTCAAATTAACTTGATGAGAAACGTTTGAGTAAATCTCTATTGTAATCATGTTTTATGTCCTATTCTTAACATTTCATTAAGTGTATTATTAATATAATAAATAAAGCAATAAATGATGGCAAATCGAAGTGATGCTTGTAGATTGAAAAATAAAACGGCCAATAGGTGGCGGACTCTCCGAATCGTTCAAAGCCGCAGATTCGTTCACTAACTAAACACCGCTTGCTTGGAGACGCACACCAGATGATACGGATTTCGTTGGAACTATTATTTCGTTGCAAAATAGAACAAACATGACAATATTCTGTTCAAAATGTAGGCTACATTTAAAATGTAAAATGTTCACTTAATATTCACTTAATGTTCACTTACATTCTTGCACGTATCTTAAAGACGAAAACAATAACACGCACAGAGTGTGTCTGTATCGAAGAGAGTTTAAATCGATCTCAGTCCGTGTCAATATTTGCTCTTTATGCTATTAAGTGAAGATCTACTTTAAAGCTATACATTGAACAGCAGCGCGATTAGCTAAAGCAACATATTATCATATATATCAGCTTACCTCATCTTTTGCGGTCAAAACTTTTGCAGCGTGCATGCGATAGGATGCCCGCTGCAAACGTTTTGACCGCAAAAGATGAGGTAAGCTGATTGGATATCATGTATTTGACCGTTTACGGCACCCCCATTTTCCTGTTTTTACATTAGAAGCGGCATTTTGCATTGTCAGAAATACGTTCGGTTTTAATGTTGCTTTAAGTTGGGGTATTAAATGAATGCCAAAACTCAGAGTTTTGTTCGCGTACCCCCCACCGTCATCTCACGTACCCCCAGTTTGAGAACCACTGGTATAGGAGAAACAACAGTGATTTTCTTTCTTACGGGTCTGATGGACGGCTGTTCTTGACATCAGCAGCGATCACTCACACATTGACACTTTCTCCTCTTTTATTCATCTCACATACACTCACGCCCAATTACCCATCTGCCTCTAGTCTGCCTGACCTTATGCCGCTCTGGGAGCCAATCAGATCTCTTCAAACGAGCGTGAGCTCAGTGTGTCTCCGCCCCTCGCAGCAGTCATAATTACACCTCCTCATTTAGCGGGATAACGAGCATCTGTCAGCCAAACGCTAAGGACGGGAGGAACCTGTCGATCCGGGCCGAGCATTTCAGTTCACATTTGAATTGTTTTACTTGTCTTTACGAGTACAGAAAATCTGCTAAAAACTGACTTGTGATGAAGTTTGGGAGATTCTCACCACTTGCAATGGCTCAAACAATGTCTATTTAAAATCAGAATTGCAAAAGTGTGTGTGTGAGACTCACTGTCTCCGTCGCAGAAGTTTCTGAAACTCCTTCAGGTCCTTCTCCAGCGCGGGGAACTCATAAACGTCTTCCAGCACGTATCGATACAGTGTCTGCACAAGAAGAAGATATATTTACATTAGCGCTTGATCGATCAGTTCGGAAAAGTGGCATTTCGTAATTATCAGAATCAATAACTTTTCCCATTTGGATGAATGTGTCACAAGCCGGATTTTGACGCAATGTACTGTATTAAATAATAAAATAATATAAAATGCAAAGATTTGCTAGAACTTTATCATATATTCTTATTTAAACAAAACTCTTGACTGCCTTTTAAAGATTTAATATTAAAGATTTGAATATATCGCTATATATTTCGACACTGCACACCAAAAAAAAACAACCTAATCATTAGATAAATATCCACAATTATCTGAGCACAGTTTGAGACATTATTGAGATCTTTTCTGAAGCTTTAGAGAAGACACATGAGATTACTAAGGTCTTTTGCTCAAGTAAAAAGCAGGAGAGTCAAGCAAAAGTCTCAATTTGCACTCCATTCAATCTCATTGCTGTCCAGGAGAAACAAGTGAGATATTAAATAAATTCAAATCAACTCGAAGATAAATGTTTGAGTTCATATTGAGATCTGAGCACAGTTTGAGACATTATTGAGATCTTTTCTGAAGCTTTAGAGAAGACACATGAGATTACTAAGGTCTTTTGCTCAAGTAAAAAGCAGGAGAGTCAAGCAAAAGTCTCAATTTGCACTCCATTCAATCTCATTGCTGTCCAGGAGAAACAAGTGAGATATTAAATAAATTCAAATCAACTCGAAGATAAATGTTTGAGTTCATATTGAGATCTGAGCACAGTTTGAGACATTATTGAGATCTCTTATGAAACCCTGAAACAAACAGACTCAAGCATAAATCTCAGTTTAATCTCATTGCTGTCCAGGAGAAACAAATGAGATATTAAATACATTCAAATTAACTTGATGAGAAATGTTTGAGTTCATATTGAGTTTTGAGCAAAGCCTGAGATGAGAAACGTTTGAGTTCACATTGATTTTATTGGCAAATTTGAACACAGTTTATTTGAGAAACAGAATTAAAACCTCTTAAAAAACTAGGAAACACATGTGAGATTATTGGAGACTCAAGTCTCCATTTAATCTCAATGCTATCCAGGAGAAACAATTGAGATATCGGAGGAATTCAAATTAACTTGATGAGAAACGTTTGAGTAAATCTCTATTGTAATCATGTTTTATGTCCTATTCTTAACATTTCATTAAGTGTATTATTAATATAATAAATAAAGCAATAAATGATGGCAAATCGAAGTGATGCTTGTAGATTGAAAAATAAAACGGCCAATAGGTGGCGGAAAGTCGCTGTCTTAATGAGCCAGGCGTCGCGTCATTCATTCATTCAGTAACGAAGCAAAATGTTGTAGTTATGAATGGGTTATTAATCACTGACTCTCCAAATCGTTCAAAGCCGCAGATTCGTTCACTAACGAAACACCGCTTGCTTGGAGACGCACACCAGATGATACGGATTTCGTTGGAACTATTATTTCGTTGCAAAATAGAACAAACATGACAATATTCTGTTCAAAATGTAGGCTACATTTAAAATGTAAAATGTTCACTTAATATTCACTTAATGTTCACTTACATTCTTGCACGTATCTTAAAGACGAAAACAATAACACGCACAGAGTGTGTCTGTATCGAAGAGAGTTTAAATCGATCTCAGTCCGTGTCAATATTTGCTCTTTATGCTATTAAGTGAAGATCTACTTTAAAGCTATACATTGAACAGCAGCGCGATTAGCTAAAGCAACATATTATCATATATATCAGCTTACCTCATCTTTTGCGGTCAAAACTTTTGCAGCGTGCATGCGATAGGATGCCCGCTGCAAACGTTTTGACCGCAAAAGATGAGGTAAGCTGATTGGATATCATGGCATAGACAACTCAAATGCTAGTCTGGAGCCCTGTATGGTCATATGTAGTTAAAAATACACAATTGCAATGTTTTTCTGTGTAATAAAACCAATTAAAATTCCCCTTCTCTCTCTCTGTATAAAAGCAGAATTCTGAAGGAAAACTCGGTTGGATGCCGACTGAATGTGTGTTTGTCAGAGACTTTGTGTTTTGACCTTGCAAGCACACTGGGCAGTAAAGGGGGCGATTTATTACCCAGCATGCACTGGGGATATACCTTATAATAGTGTACATTCCCTCAATGCATGCTGGATAATGTCAGTACACAAATGCATTACGGGAACAATGTACATTTACTGTCTCAGCGCTGTAAAACAACAGCGGCTACATCTCCAGTCACGCTATAACACACACGCAGAAACACACACACACACAACAACAACACATCACATACACGCAACAACACATCACATACACACACACGCAACAACACATACACACACACACACACACACAACAACACATCACATACATACACACACAACAACACATCACATACATACACACACACACACATCACACACAACAACACATCACATACACACAACAACACATCACACACACACACACATCACACACAACAACACATCACATACACACAACAACATATCACACACACACGCAACAACACATACACACACACACACAACACACACACACACACACACCCACACACACAGAAACACACAGACACACACACACACACTGAAACACACACGTACAGAAACACACACACATAGAAACACACACACACACACAGAAACACATACACACACACACACAAAACACACACACACAAACAACCAAAC